AAGGCATGAGCCACCACGCCCGACTTGTCTCATGATTTAAAAAAAAATTATGGTCATAAAGAGAACATTAAAAACACAAAACAAAGTATCTCAGATAAAACTTTAGATAAAATATGTCACATTGCACCCATTATTCAAAGAAATTAAAATCACATTAAAATGAGAAAATTAGCTTTTTTGTTTTCCCTCAAAAAGTATCAAAATTAGGCAAGCTGACAATTTACAAGGCTGCAGACCATCAGCAAGCGCCGTCAGCAGTTGTCTTGGGTTAGTAGCTAGGCTTTATGGAATTCACCCTGGGCAGGAAGAAGAGGTGGAGGAAGTACCTTCAGTCCAAGCCAGTAAGCCCAAATGACAGCAACTGCATGCTTACGCCTAGCCTCCTCCTTCAAGCGTTTCAATTCCCTTCGAGCCTAGAATGTTTTAGATAGTAAGTAAAAGAGACAGCCCAATGCAGGCAGCACAAACGACAGAAAAAGTTACCCCCATCGAACAGGAGAGTCAATTTTTGAGTAGGATCTGCAGACAGCAGAGAACAGTAAACAATCATTTCAACCCAAGGAATCGGTGTCAAGCTGGTGCGGCTGCCTGTATTTCGTGCACTGGGATTCTGTTCCAGGCCAGGGCAATTGTGTGGCACCCAAGGGCATTCCCTCTCCACCCGTCACTTCCATTCTTTTCCCTCTTTCTCCTTTGTCCCCTCTCCCTCTACAGTTCTTTCTCTACACTTGCTCAACCCTCTTACGGAAGCCTCATAGCAGATGCCTCTCAGTCTACTGCTGTTACTCCCTCAGTGGGCTTCCCTTTTGCTGGTAGCACAAGGGGCTGAAGGAGTTATGAAACAGTTCTTCTGTTTGGATGAACAAAAAGACAACCAATTAAAAAATGGCAAAAGATAAAAACTGTGTCAAACAAAAACGTGAAACCAACAAAGAAGTTCTTTCCAATTAAAAAATTAGAAGTGGCATGTACAAAAATTAAATTTCACTGGGGTAAGTAGAGAACAGTGGCAGAGTGGTTGCCTAACATTCAGAAGGGCCTGGGATCAATCCCCCATACTGCCAAAAACACATAAATAAAATAAATTTTAGCTAAGATCTCCAACAGTGAAATATACATAGACTGGAACAGCACAAAAAGTGAAATAACTTACAGGCTGAAAAATTACTCTCATGGAAAAATTAATCTTAGGCATGCTGTTTTAAAAGACAGTTAGGCATTCATTTTCTAAGACATTACAATAGTGAGACTGGGGAATAAGCTCAGTGGCAGAACAGTTTATAAGCACGTTCACCTGTTAGGACGCTTGCCTTAGTTGACTAAGTACATACTTAGGTTTTCACTTATTTTTAGAAAAACACAAACAATTGTGGTCAGCATTTGGCAAGCCAAGTTGCATATATAGCCCCCAAAGTTGACTTTTCTAATTTTTTTCTCACAAGATGGGCTTAAAATGTTGATACGGTAGACTTAAAAACACAGGACTCTGTAGATTTTTGTGTTTCTAACTGGAATACACATTTTTAGCAACTGTGACCTTTGATTTTTCTAAGTAACAAAAACATCTAAAAATCTTGTCCCTTGGGGTATGTGAAATGTTCACAGAGCCCAGGACTCAGCCTGGGGATTAGTGAGAGTGTTTCAGGAGGCCTTTGTTTCTGAAAACAAACAGCCCATACTGAAATTCCTAGGATTCTTAGTGGCAAGTAGGAACACAGTTTTCCATGAAATCAGATGATCACTTTTTGCACATGTAACACTGGTGGCTTACAATAATCATTAGCTGCCAAGGTCAGCCTGAAACGCAACTTCATTCATAGATTAATTTTTTTAAGGCATGCGTCACAGGCATTCTATTGTCAGCACTCTGTAGAAGACAAATTCAAATCCAGTCTTAGCATTCTCCACGTGCTCCCCCCTGTAAAAAAGTACCCCCTAAAACTAACCAGCATAATTAGTGGACAGTAGGCCCCAACATGCAAGTTTCTTAAGAGGTTTATTTTGGGAGACTGTGATTTTGTTGTTTTTTAAAAAGCAACTATGCTCAAGCCTCATTAGTAAGGTTAGTTTTCTTGGCTGCACATGCTGAAGCTTCCTAGGCACACTACTGTCGCTAACGCCTCCAGGTTAACCGGGCTAAGAACATGCACAGGGGTCAGCCACTACTAACTGCAATTCTTCATCCCTGCTACACTAGAGAGAAGGGGTGGTTACTGCAGAATTTCAGGACGGAGTGATGGGACGTGTGCATCAAGTACCTTTGATCCAAGCCAGAAAGCCCAAATAACTGCAATAGCATGTTTATTTCTAGCCTCCTCCTTCAGCCGTCTCAGTTCCCTTCGCGCCTGTGGTGCATTTGAAAAGGAGTTAGAGAGAAGTTTAAGGCAGGAAAGGTTACTGCTGCTTCCCAATGGAGAAGAAAAAAGAAAGACACCAGTCACCACTGATGGTAAACGCAAAAGCATGTGCCGCCACCCACACCAAAATGTTGGAAGGAGCGAGAGGCAAGTGCGTGCTCAGTAGCTAAAGCCAGTGAAACATCTTCTGCCCCTAGTCTGAGGGTCCTCTGTCCCACGTGTGTTCCTCCCAGCGCACCGCCCTCCTCAGGACTTCTGGTCTACCTGGGTGCCGTGCCAATACGCTGCGATGGTGGTGGCTGCCTCCTTACAGCGCTTTTGGTGCTTTAGTTCTCGCAGGATTTTCCGAGCCTATGGTACAGAAATCATCCCCCAAAGAGAACATTTTTTAAAAAGAAATTTACAGTGACTGGAAAATGGTCTCCAAAGAGATGAGAGTCCAAATAAACACAGTCCGGTGAAACAACAGCTTAGAGCAAGGAGAAACTGTGACTGGAGACACTGGGCATCACCGGTGACACCGCACGCACACGATGCACACACACACACACACACACACACACACACGAGGCAAGTAATACGCATAAAATAAAAATTAAATCTTAAAAAGAAACCAGTGGCTGCTTTCCAATCATTTCTGAAAACTGATTTTATAGGGACAGGAGAGCGTCTGGCTTGGATGCCCCGCTGGTGACAGTCTCACTGTAAGTGCTCACATTCACGTTGTCATATTAACTGGGGAACAGCCATGTCCTTGGGTTGTCTAGGGCCTAGACAAAAGCCAGTCTCCTTTGTAGCCCAGGCTGTACTCTCTGAAGAAGCCCCAGGCCTAGGCACAGTCTCAAGGTCTGTCCTCTGGATCTAGACCATCCATGAAACCTCTTAGTAGGGTACTGATCACAAGAAATTCTGAGCACAGATTAGTAAATAGCAAGATTTCTATAAATTCTTCTGGCTCTGCAAGTCACATGACTATCACAGCTACTAGACTTGTCCATTACAAACCTAGAGTAGACCTTGAGTAGTCAAAACCATCTGAAATAAGTGAATATGGGCACATTTGAATATATCTCATTTAGGGCTACTAACTTCACATTTCACATAAGTATCACATGCTACAAATGCTCTTCTTTTGCTTTTTGTGGTTCAAAATGGTTCAAAAATATACAAACCATTCTTGAATTGCAGGTTGTATGAACTTGGAACACCAGCTAGATTTGGTCAATGGATTTGGCCTGTGGTCCATAGTTCACTGACCCCTGAACAAAGCCTAGCAGGAAGGACCTGGAACCAGGTCAGGCACCGTGACCACCTTCTCATCCTCCCACCACATCCCTAGTCAGAGCCCAGGATCCCTCAATCATTATGGGGCGGCTGCAGGATGGTCATCATTAAGTCATGGAAGGTTGGGCTAGAGGTGCTAAGCCCCAGCAGGAGTCAAGGGCACCAAAGAAGCAGCTTATAAGAGAGTCTTCTGGAATGCAGTTTCTCTCAAAAGCGAGGGGCACGAGAATATTGAGATCATATACAATATTATTTCAAGGACTTCCTGCTTAGAGAACAAAGCTCTCAAAAAAGAAAGCTGATTAGAAGGAAGCAGGGAAGACATGGTCAACAGGACCCCCTGCCTGGCCCATAATATTTACCCTTTCCATTTGGTATGACTGTTTACAGGAAGTATCTCCTGCAGGGTAAGCCTAAAGACATCACCCTTTGTGAAGAACCTAGCCCCCACAAAAAATAAAGCACACTTCTTTGAAACTCACCTTCCAGCCCCGGATATAAGACTGAATCACCAGAGCAGAACTCTTTATCTGCTGATACCTCTTTTGTTGCTGTAAGATGAAAGGGTGAGATATGAATAGTTGTATTTGCATAGCTGTCATGGTGGTCTCTTACAAGGCCTGAGAACTTAAAGCAGTGGACCCCTGACTAGTACACACTTCTGGAAACAAAGAAACTGAAATGCTACATAGTCCAAAATTATTACAACCAATCCACAGTACGTATCAAGGATGCCAAATACGAGAACTTCTCATTGGTGTAGGTCCCACCATTATCAGGGCCTGTTCTTTGTAGCATGCTGTCATAGCAGAGTCCACACTGTCCATTATCAGGAAGATTCTCTGAATGAACCCACTGACTTCTGCATCTGCTTTGGAGAGTTTTCTTTCTTAGTATCATTTTTTTTTCCACCATGCAACTTACTGGGCTGGCCCACCTCTAACCTCCCAGTTCTTCTTAGGGTTGCTGTTTTTACTCAGCTTCAACTTGGGAAATCAGGTAAAAATTTCAGAACACTACTGAAACAAAATTTAAACAGTTGAGGCTCTGTGTCTGACTGCATCCTTATTTAGAAGGACTGGCCAAAGACATATGTCAACACTGTGAAATATACACAACCACAACAAGCTCAATGATGCCTCAGACAGGGAACTGCTTGGGCTACTCCCCCTAGAAAAGTGAGCTCTTGGAATGGCTTAGAATGGATGCTACAACTGGGGCATCTGTGATAAAAACTCAAATTGTTTCAAAATAGGAAAGTCAGGCTGTTAACCTGAGATTGCTTAGTTCCTGTTCTCAAAGATGAGAGATGATTTCCAGGAACCTAGGGTCCATCTTGAAAGATCAGAGGTAATGGAGGGAGAGGGGAAGCTGCATAGTTTGGCTATGAAGTGTCATTCCAAAAGGCTTGGGTACTGAGGGGGAGTCCCTAGCGGTGGCATTATTTTGGGAGGTGCTGAAAACTTAAAAAGGGAAGACCTAGCTGGAGAAAGTGTGTCACTGGGCATGCTTCTGAAGGTTACATCTGGTCTCTAGTCTGTCTTTTTTCCCTCTGTCCCTCAGATTCTCTTTCATACCCACTATGAGATGAGCTGCCCCTGCCACATGATCCTGCCAACATGATTTTCTACCTTAGCACAGTCCTGTGATCAACAGCTTATTTGACCTACGGACCAAAGCAACTGAAACCATGAGTCAAAATAAATCCTCCCTTCAGTGGTTAGGTATTTTGTCATAGCTTCAAAAGGTTTAACACAGCAGGTGAACCAAAATGGGATGCCAGGAGAAAAACCAGGAGAACCCTGGAATTCAAGACACACTTCCTGGGTCTCAGTTTTGTCAGTTGCCAAAGGAAAGGCCAGGAAATTTCTAAGCTTCCTCATAGAGTAATATTCTAAGCACAAATGAATGAGCTATATCTACAACATCTCAACACCACCTCTGACATCTACTTGGTATGAATAGCTTCCTTTTATTCATTCCTAAGTATTCTGAAAATAACCACTCCTCACTTTAAACTTTATCTCAAGGAATACTGAAATATCATAAAATATGGAAGAATTTTAAAATAATCAGTACTTGAAAAGAAGCACTGGGGAAATCTTGGGTTATTTGGTGAAACACAGGTAAATCACTGACTTGAATAACACAGTTAACTAGTGGAGATATTTAGTTCAAAGTTGAAATGATGTAACACTAGAGAGAAGTTCATGCTTTCTCTGAAAATTGGGCTACTATTTTACATTCAACAAATATTGCTTGTAACTCCTACAATTGTATCTGGTGTCTTCTTTTTTCACTCACTGATATAAAAGCTCTGTACTGAGAAGGAGGGTACAAAAAGTACTTAATATTGCTGGCCTTTGCATTGCCTACTGTTCTCCTCCTGACCAAGGAGCCCCTCCTCGGGTCCTCCTGGCCATCCTGCCTATACTTATACACCTCTCCACATTATTCTCTATCTCAAGTCTCTTCATCCTAGATCTTGCAAGTTGCAACTGTTTTACTTTGCTTGGATGCTTACTATCCCTTGCTAAATATAAACTTTATCAAGTAAAGAACTGGGCTGTTGAGTCTACCCTGCTATTCTCAGAAAACAGTAGGTGTTTTGAAGCTGCAGAATTTAAGTTGGATAAATTAAATTCAGTATTCTCTCATCTGGATTTTCTTCATGATCCCAAAAAGCGCTTCTTGAAGGTGAGCTATCTGTTGATCTTCCCTTCTCAGGTAAACAGAAAATAGCCTTATGACTCTGCAAGGAGTTAAGAAGCACTGCTGTGCCCACAGAGGATAATCCACAGCCCCTGGGCGGGTGACAACAGTTCCATGTATCTTAACAGAATGGACATGGACGATCCTACCATTCACATGTTCATATTGTAAGACTTGTAGTCTGGCTGTAGTCTTTTAAACTAGAATATGCACTTTTAAAATATTCTAATTTTGCCTTATAGTAAAACTTCTTTTTAGCTGCAAAGAAGGGAGAATACACTAAATGGACTTGACTGCAAATGTAATTCATTTCCCAATTCACTATACAGCAGAGACACATAGAATGAAAAAAAAAAAAAAGAAAAAAGGAAGCTATGTTTCTTACCATTACAATTCATTTTGCAAGAACAAAACCTAAGTTTAAGCAAGACTACAGGGGTAAACCTAGGGCATGCCTGGAACAAAGCACAGTCACTCAAGTCATAAATTCCCAAAAGGAAGATCTGTATTAATTGAGTACATATTCTTTACTATTAAGTCATTTTCCATAGCTATTAGGCAATATCTGATAGCTAAAAAAAAAATCAAATCCTTTAATCCAAGCCAGAGTTCTACTAAAACAGTTTCTGTGCTCTAGAATTAAAGTTATCTTCAACACTGCCACAAAAAAATACAACCAGCACGTCATAGAAAACTGACCCAACCACAGTGAAAGGTCAAACGACACAGTTTTCTCTACTCTGATAACAAAATCTGAGGTAACTTTCCCACTTATTCCTCAATCAGTGGAAAGTAATGTGGAATTCTAAACTCGAGCTCTGAAACTGTCTTGGGCTCAAATCCAAGCTCTGCCACTAACAGCTATGGGTGACTTCTTAGAAAAAAGAATCATAAGGGAATGCTTCTTGTAAGTTTGTTGGGAGACCTGGTTATACAGAAATTATATACATAGAAAGTACATCAAGAATGTTGACAAGTTAGTATGTTATGTCACAATACCATGATGGACTTACCGCGTATCTCCTGTACCAGGCAGCAATCACAACTTGGCTTTTTTTCATGAGCAGGAAGTGTGTCCGGCATTTCCACCCTCGATAAATCTTCTGAATGAGAGTGGCCAAGTCTTCAAGCCGCTGCTTCCTTAGGTCTTCTAATTTGAATAACTAGAAATGATAGACAGACTTAGCCAAAGTCCTCCAAAACCTTCTGGTACACATGAAAGGAATTCTCAGGAGGCAAAATGCCTTGATGTGGAAATTAGCTACTTGAATGATACGCAGTATGGATCACAGCACATGAGGAAAATATTTTGATGGGTTCATGAAAGATTCAGTTATTCTAGTGATTCAAAATGCATGACCCATCAGAGAAGGGTTGAGATGAACCTGAGTTGACCAGCACCCTGCTCCTGAGGATGCAAACTACCTCAGGTAGAAACTCTGAGTACCAGCATGAAATTCAAAGTTTCAGAAGCTAGAGCAATTTAAATTTCAGATTTTCAGGTTAAGGATGGATAGCCAATAAAGCCAACACAAACACTTCAAAACGTGGTCCTCAGCATGTCAGATACAGACTCCTGCTGGTGGAATGCAAACACTGGCAGCTTTTCTTCTTCAACAACTCAAATATTCCACATTTTCTAAATGTCTATATCACTAGATCAACTGTGATACTAATTACACTTTTTTCTTTTTTGCCAATCTATCTATTTATAAAAAGACTCCAAGGAGCTCTATGAACTCGAAATGTGTTCTTTTTAAGTTTTGAGTATTTTTTATTTCTGTATTTCATGGGCTGTTAATTCCTAAAACTATTGTGTAACTTAGATGTTGTAAACACAGACTGATTCTTAGAATTGCTATGAATTACGGAGATTTAATCATGGTGTGATAGCTTCATTATCATTTCTTAAATGTCGTATAATCTATCAGATAGAAGATTTTGGTGTTTTCTAAATAATACATGCCCTCTCGCCATCCCACTTGCTCCAGCTCTAGAACACTTGCAAATAGACAAAGGAACACAGCCTTGCAGTGGCAACTCAGGTGCTGTAATAAAGTGAAGCATGCTTTAAGTGCTAGCCTGCATGCATGAGATTTAGGTGCAGAGTGTAAAGGTTACATACTGTTCTCGGATTTCGGATGAATATCTTTGATCTACCAAAGGAGTATTCTTCCACGGGAATCTCTAATTCACTAAACAGAACTTCCACACCAGCCCTAAAAGAAAAAAACAAAAACAAAACAATGTCTTTTCCGAGTCAAAAAATAGTTTTACCTTATCTTCTATCTTGATATCAGGTTCTCTCTCTCTCTCTCTCTCTCTCTCTCTCTCTCTCTCTCTCACACACACACACACACACACAAAAGTACATTTCTTTTATTTAGTTTAAAATTTTATTTTTCATTAAATTTTTTGATTTTTTATGTAATAAAAAGTAAAAGTTCTTGAGGCATTTGTCTCTCACGCAGGACACTCAAGTTAACGGGGAAGAAGAACTGGGGGCCCAAGTTTAAGGTTATAAATAATAGAAAATAAAAGATCTTCCATCTACATCAGGGTAACAGATGAGAGGATGGGAGGGCAAGAGTGGGTGGGATCTGGCAGGGGCAGAGCAGGAACCTCCTTATCCCCACTGGACCCCAGCTCTGCCCACTTCAAGGACCCCTCCCATTCAAGGTGCTTGGTAGGAATTCACCTTTGTTTGTGTGGGGGTACACATGTAGAGATCACAGGACAACTTGTAGGAACTGACTCTCTCCTTCTACCATGTGGTTCCTGGGGATGGAACTTAGGTAGTCAGGCTCTGCAGCAAGCAAGCACCTTTACCCCCTAAGCCATCTCCCTCAGTCCAAAATAGCCATTTTCAAGTGTAATTGCTCTTTCAGTAATCATCTTTCCACTAAAGGATTTTTTTCAAAACCAGCTTTCACAAATTAGCCCAAATTAGTAAACACTAAAAAGGCAAGGTTCAGAACTATGTATTCTAAGAAATATAGGGATTTCTTGATTTCATTAGTAGAAGTAATACTTGTATCAAAAATACTCAATGTATCAACCAGGTCCAGGAAGGCAAGCTAAAATCTAGGCTCTATACTGAATCCACCCAGTTAATTCTTGAAACATTCTGAACATTGTTCTCATTTCCAGGCACCGAGCAAGGCCCAAAAGAGTGCTAAGTAGCAGAGTGATGAGATGCTAAAGAACATGTGCCTTATCTGGTGGAAACAAGGCCTTGACCCAGTTTCAACATCGGTTTCTAAAACCAGCTTGGCTTCATCAACCTGCGGATTAGGTTCCAGGCAGGGAATAAATAATGTTCTGTGTTATGGCACATTTACCATAATACCCTAGAAAGTAGCAGTGAGTAGAAACAACATCCCAAGTCTACATTATCTGGGTATTGAATGAGACATCAGAGACCACACCATATGTCTGATTTCGGTCTCTTTTATAACAGAAGGTGCATGTCTAATTACTATTGATGCTTCTGTGACGGTCTGGGTCCACTGAGAATGTGGACACAACATCAGCACAGTGAGATGAAAATCCCCAAGGGCCTGCCTTGTCCATGAGTGCTGACCCTCCTTGTACTATTCAGACTTCAACACCATGGCAGTCTAACTGGTGAGAGCGGAGGTCCCTGCACTGGCCAGGTCTGATTTCTCTGCCATAACAGCTGCCTAACAGCAAGTTCTCTCTATATGTGGACAACTTGCAGGCAATGGGGGTGCTCTGAAGGGCAGGCCCAGTGTCTAGCACTCTGTCTTAGACTAAGGAGTGAGTATGAATCAAGGTAGATCAAATGAAAGACTACAGCCCCAGGACCAAGCCAGATAGATGCTCCAATCCAGAATGACTAGCCATCATGCTGACACCAAATCCTATCTGTCTGCTATCTGTTTCTTACCTGGGGTACACACAGGCACAGGGAAGACCTTTACTTTGCCTTCCAACTCCTTCTAGGGGCAGACTCCCCAGGCAAAAAGTAGAGAGCTGGGCTGGAGAGATGGCTCAGCAGTTATAAGCACTGGCTGCTCTTACAGAGGACCTGGACTCAGATCTCAGCATCCACATGATGGCTAACAATTGTCTGTAACTCCAGTTTCAGGGGATCTGAGGCCCTCTCTGGCCTCCACAGGCATTGCACAACATGGGTGTACTTACATGCAGGCAAAACACTCATACATATAAAATGTAAGTAAATAGTTAAATAGATAATTTTATAAAAGCAGAAAGCTCAGGGCTGGAGAGACGGCTCAGCGGTTAAGAGCACTGATTGCTCTTGCAGAGGACCCGGGTTCAATTCCCAGCACCCACATGGTGGCTATGAACTGTCCTTAACTCCAGTTCCAGGGGAATCCGAAGCCTTCTGACCTCTGTGACACTGCATGACATGGGTGCACTCACATACATGTAGGCAATACACTCATACACATAAAATAAAAATAATATTTTTAAAAAAAGCAGAAAGAAAGCTCTTCTCTACTCATCTATGATTCTATAAGTTTATATATAAACTATAAATGGCCTCATATGAATTCACAATGGGTTATGTTTGAAACATTTACAAGTATGCAAGTTTCAAATATGGATTTTATAGGTTCTATTTCCATCTTAAAGAAAATCAACAACTCCATAATAAATTGAGACTTATCCAAAATGGTGTCCAAACGGAAGAGGGTGCACCCAACTTTTCAGAGAATTCTGTTGTTATATAGCAGCAGATGGGGATAAAAACCCATGTTACTTGAATACTTTAAGAACTGGTTATTACAGTCAGTTGAGCTGCTTACCTTGCTGGTCCTTTCCAGTGAGGCCATGTTTGTTTGCAAAGCATTTTGTATCTTTCTAGGCAAGGTTCATAGGCTTGCCTGAAGGCGTAGCCTGCCCGCCTCACTCGAACATTCTCGAGAAGACCCAGGTACCTGATCTGATGACAGACTAGACTCTCGTTGAAGATGTGTGCTGCTTTTTTATCATTTGGTTTGATGCACCTAAAAGATTTCAAATACTTTAGGTTTTAAACTCTGCCTCTATGATTATTAACTGTGTTTTACAAAGTAGGATGTCTAATTTTAGTGTAGTTATTTGTTATTCTTGGAAAACCAAGTCATTTCTAGTTATTTCAGATCATTTCATAATGAACTAAACATAACTACAATACCCCATATACTGTTATTTTTAAAAACTTCTAAAACATGCAACAATGATGAATATTAATGACATTGTGTTCAGTGCAAGAGGTGTGACAAGAGTGTGCACTGCATAATTCCATATGTGATACTCAGGCAAAACTGCTCTGAATCAGTATGGCTGTTTCTTCTGAGGAGAGATGATAAGATCAACATAGAAGAGTCACAGGGAATCCTTTCATGCTGGTGGATATGCTCATGATCGTATGTGTGTGTATATATTCTCACTGAACCTGGAGCTCAAAGATTTCAGCAGGTCTAGCAGGCCAGTAAGTCCAGGAATTTCTGTCTCTGCCTCCCCTATGCTGGGATTATAGGCAGACCTGCTGTGCCTGGCTTTTTAAAGTTGGTGCTGGGGATCTAAACTCAGCTTTTCATGCTTGCTTTAGCAACTGAGCCATCTCCCCAGCTATCAGTGTGTTTTATATTTTAAATGAAAGGGGTAAACATGTGCATGCATATTTAAAGTTTCAGTAAAGCTGTGTAATTAAGGCTCATAGTAAGAACTATGAAAGGTGGTAAAGCCACAGGAAGATCAAACACACTGTTGCCTCCTTTTGTCTATTTTCCTTGTTAACAGAAAAGAATACATCTCCAGCCTCCTTTGTCAGTACATGTCGCCATGTGACCAAATTTTTGTCATTTGGATCAGAGTAGAAGTAATGTATATAGTGTTCTGGCCTGTGTCCTTAAAAGCCAGACTCTTACTCCTCCTTTCCTTCCATTAAGAGAATGCTGACGTGGTAGACAGCCATCTTTGACCACTGAGATGAGGAATACACCCTGGAAACAGCACAGCCGCAAAACAGAAAGAACTTCCCTGTTAGCTCTAGAGTCCTTACCCTCAAAAGTGACATATAAGCAAATGCAAGTCCTGTTTAAGCCATTATTAGTTTTAGATCATGTTACAAAAATCCCTGTCCTAACTAATATAACTATTAAACATTCATGGTTATGGAAAACACACACACACATGCATGTGCAAATGCACACACTATGGACAATTAAATCTTATTAACTTTTGCCTTGGTGTTTTTATGCTTTTCTCTTACCACTTCTAAGAGTAGTGTCTATCTTATGCATTGAATAATGGCAACAAACTGAACAAAAGGATAGTCTAGTAAGTTCTGAATTAGATGCTTACACATACATTCAATTGGTTATTGATAAAGGTACTAAGGATATTTGAACAGGAAAAGAATTTAGCATTAAATATGAAATCTGAAACTACAGATTCTAGAAGAAAGCCTATGATAATATTTTTATAACCTTGAGGTTTACTAAGACAACATGGAAAAACTATGACGGAAAGCCAGGTGTGGTGGCGCAAGTCTTTAATTCCAGCACTTAGGAGGCAGAGGCAGGTAGATTTCTGTGAGATCAAGGTCAGCTGGGGTTACATAGTGAGTTCCAGGCCAGCTGGGGCTGTAGGGAAACTGTCACATTACAAAAAACAAACAAACAAACAAACAAACAAAAAACCCCAAAAACAAACCAACAAAAAAACCATACTGAGGGAGCTTTCTAAGATGATGGTACTGTTTTATCCTTAATCTAGGTGGTGGCTACCAAAGTAAGTGTAAGGATTAAAAAAATCATTAACCTTCAAATCTGTGCATATTACTTCATGCAAAGGACACCTCAGGGAAACACAGACAGTTCCTTTCAACCGAGAGTAACAAAAGCAATGAATCAAAGAACGTCTACTGACTATTTTCTATTTTCTGGAAAGGAGATTTTTCTCTCAATACATGCTCTAACCTGGGTAAATCAAGGCAGGGTATTTTGACTATTTGTGTTTCCACTGTTATAAATAAATAAATAACCCAAATTTACACATATACACAAAATGACTTTCACTCTAGGTTCCTCCTAACTGAAATTTCAAAGCTATTTATAGAACATACTTGCAGTTTAGGTATGTGCTGACAGATGTCATGGTCATGATCATGGTCATGTCTGATCCATCAGATAGCACACTTCCCACTGCCTAGTTTGAAAGCACACACAGAAAACTCTAACACTGGTGGGCCGTTCCTGAATACTGAACAAATTACATCTAAGATGACCTAGGAGCAGAAAAAAAAAAAAAAAAAAAAAAACCCAGAGGCTTTTAAGGCATCTTTCCTACTGCCTGGAAGACATTCAGGTTGTTTTAGGAATGGCTTTTCCTTTGGGTGTATAACTCTCCCCAGGAAGTAAAGAGCCTGGCTCCTAACGAACACCGACCGGCCATCCAAGCTGCTTGTTTTGATGCTCTGCTCTAAGCTGATATTACAGGAATCCAAACTGATACCAAGAAAAGAGCTTCGTGCAACTCCTCAGAAAACCATCTTACAATTTGTTTTGTAATTTGTCATTAAAAAAATACACAAACAGAAAGTTGAGAACTCCTGCATGGCAACCACCGAGCTTCCTGCTTTCTGTTGTTCTAACACATTTTTCCCCTTCACTTTTCCTGCTGTACTTTGGTGGGATGAAGTACAGCTGTGAATTTTTTAAACCAATCAGACACCATATTATATGATCTATAATTACGTTAGGCACTCTCTGCTTGGCTATATTCAGATTTAAACAAGAAAAGAGCTCTTCACTGTGCTTCGATTGAACTACCAAAGACTTCTGTATCAGAAATACCTGATATAATTCGGATTCTTGGTCTGTAGGTTTCTCATCAGAGTGGCCACAGATGCCTTGAACTGTGACCCTGCTGTAGGTGGCCTTTTCAGGTTGATCTTGGCAGGATTCCCTTCAGGGAATAAAGACTTGATGAGGGCATGGCCAGCCTTCCACATGGCTTGGGACAGGTCTCGGTAGAGAAGATCATTGTTCTTGTCCACAAATCCTTCCACCTGGTACAGCACCTATGAACAGCACATGGGACTCAACGCCGGCTCACTGAACACAGTCACATCAAACAATGTTAAGAACACTCAAGGCTCTGGAGCCTCTTCCTTTGATGTAAAAAAGTCTCCAACACATGGGCTGGAGAGGTGAATCAGCAGTTGAGAGCACTGGTTGCTCTTGCAGAAGACTGGAGTTTGATTCCCAGCCATCTATATGGCAGCTAACAACCAACTGTACTTTAATCCCAGGGGATCCAATGCCCTCTTCAGACCTCTGTGGGCACTGCATGGCACAAGGTACAGTTGCATACATGCAGACAAAACATTCATACACATAAAATAAAAATTTTAAATATCTCCAACACATTAGTCTTGCTCTGATACCAAATTTGCCTCCAACTTTAAACTGTTTAAGCTGTAGAAGAGATCAAAATAAATTCTACTACCTTCAGGATTTGCAAGAATAAACTCCAAAAATCTCCTAACATTTTCAAAGATTTTGAGATTTTTTTTTCTATGTGTATGTGTGATTGTGTTTTGAGAATTTTCTTTTAGTTTTCTGTTCACATGCCAAGTCTAGTCTATTTAAAAGCAGCAAAGGTTGAATGATTGGGTGAGAGGGGTAACTGACTCCTCCATCGACTGCTTGATGAGCATGGAAAGGAGAAAGAGAGAAAATGCTAACATTTTCATAGACATCATAGGCAGCAGAGAAACAGATCAGGATCCTTTACTATTACAAGTCAATGAAAAAAAACAAAGAGCCAACATTCTGCATTTTGAAATAAAAAACAATCTAGGTATTACCTATTGTCACTAAATACATTAGTAAAGAATTTCATTTTGAAGTTTGTATTCTTATTTATAAAGGTAGGATTCTAATCAATAATCCTTTAGGATTCTAAAAATTAATCTGCTTTCCAAATTGCTTTTATCGCTTTCACATACTGAATGACATAAAGTTAGTTTCTTCTAATATTAACCAAGTGAATGCTTGTTTCTTTAAAAAAAAAAAAAAACAAACAAAAACCTATATATTTTCCCCAGTGTTCTCTCAAAGTCTCAATCTAAGAATGCTTTATTTTTGTTAAATGGCTTGTGCCTTTAAGACCTTACTGTAGGTCTTCTTGTCTAGCAAATCTCACTTAGTAATGTTGCTAGGTATTTTTGATAGAATAGCTTAATGCTTGAAAATAATAAAGCTCATCTGAAAATATCTTTGTACTGTTCATCAAGCTCATTGGCTTTGCTTTCAGTTTTCTTGTGCTAACAAGATTTGGTTCAATTTCTATTGAGTATTTATTGCTCTGGCTATTCTGACAGCTGTACTTATAAGGCAACTGAGTTCAGCACACCCATCTCTGAGGCGTAGTCCCCTCCAGGGATAACTTTGGAGGCCTGGGGTGGGTCCTGGTACCTTGCCAGCATAATGCTGGATTCTGAAGCAGCTGTGGGGCAGGGATGTGTCATTGAGGAAGCGGGAACACTTGCTCATCCTGCTCTCAAAGTGCTGGTGAGTGGCGCAGACTTGGTTCAGCTTTTCTAGAAAGGTCTCATCGGTGACAGTGCCAGGCCGCAAGCACTCCTCATCCAGCATGGCCAGGATTCCATTTGTGTTCTGGGAGAAAATGGATAAAAATGTTTCTTTGTTTCCTTCCTTCCTTCCTTCCTTCCTTCCTTCCTTCCTTCCTTCCTTCCTTCCTTCCTTTCGACATTGTTTTAATAATTAGTCCTAATAACACCATCAAGCACAATCAACTTAGTCACATGAAAAATTTTGTTCAGTTATAACAAAAAATAGACAATGAATCAAATAATAAAAGCTAAAGAAATCAGCCCTTCTCTGGTGTCCCGGATGTGTGGGGTGCAGGTGTAGGCATTCCTGTCTCCCTCCCCGACTGGACAGGGCCTAGGAGCCATCTCATCTTCAGTACAACCCAAGTTCACTGTTAGAAAAGGATGAGTTGACCTCAAATCTGAAATCAAATCCGAAAGCCAGAAACCAACATGGTATAACAGTGCTTATAGCGGGCTACAAATCACAGCACTGTGCCCTTCCACTTTTATTTGCTTCACAGCTTGGAAAAATATGTGGTCTCACATGTTGCCATATTGTTCGTATAGTCAGAGTAAAGTTACATTTCTAAGGAGGAAAAATGCTGTGATTCAAGATGTTGCTCTCCAGGATCCCACAGTCAAGCACTTTTCAAAAACATGTTTAGAAAAAAATTCTTGTTCCACATAAAATTTCTAAATGGATGTTAAACAGGAGTGAAAATTTACTTGTATATTCAGACCCCATCATCATATTTATTTCAAGATCAGTCAGCCCTAAACTGAATCAGAAATCAGGAATTTCTACTTTGCTAAACAAAGGCCATGCTCTTCCTTGGATTGCCCCTGCAGACTCAATTCCAGAAACAATCCACCCCACCAGCCCTCAACTCCACCCACTTCCACCAAAGCAAAGGTCCCATTCCTCTCAGCTTGTCCTCACAAGGCCATGACATCCTCTGACCAGCATGTATTCATTCCACACAAAACCCAAGGGAAGTGTGGGCTCTCAAGTGTGTTCACAACATCCCCAGAATAGTCACTACTATTCAACAATGTTGGAAGGAAACATTTCCTTTATGCACCAGGCTCTTCCGAAAACATGAGTTTCTTCAATCACATATGCAAGGGGATTTCTGGTTGAGATAATCTAGTAATGTTTAAGTATATTACATTCCTTCTCCCAAAGGGAAATAATTAATTATAATGTTATGTTCATAAGAAAAACATGCTCGTCAGGATTTCTGAAAGTTAAAGTTCCCATAGCAAATTCCCTGGGTACAAAATTTACTAGGAAAAAAAATTTCAGGAAATCTACTTCTTTTACAGATTTGAGGCTGGAGCTTTGAATTCTTTGTGTGGACTACAACTGTTCACATTCTAACACTGGCCAGATATTTTAAAACAAAGTTTTGAATTGTAGAAGAGCGGTGCTTTAAAATACTGTTTTTAGTGTTCAATTAAATCAAAGATGCAGCTTTCAGGACTATCTTGCATATTAATAGAAAAACATAGTTATGTAATTTCCAAAAGGGCTCATTTAAGATGAGCAGAAAATGGTTTGCTGTACATTTATTAGAGTGTGTGATGGAAGAAAGACAATGAAGTTCACACACTATCTCAAATTACTTTATCAAGGTCAGGAGTACTAGTATGCTAAGGTTAAAACAAAAGGGTTTCCTGTTTTCATGTGCAAACGTGTCTCCCTACAATTACCCATTTACAATGAACTATAGGATAGAGTCTAAAAACAAAAATCTTGGATTCAAACAGCAGGCATAAGACCTGAACAAGTCAGACAAAATCCCAGCAAGGAGGGGTGAGATGGGCAGGAAGCCCTGGCTCTGGGACTTGATAGATTCTGGGAGAAGCAAAGTCCATTTTCATGTGATGCTGGTTAGTTTCACCACGCTCCAGGGGACAGACCCACTCAAGAGTATTTGAGGGACACAAATACTTGATAGGCCTTAAAAAAATAATAGAGGACATGAAGTGATGAGAGATAGGGAGGTGGCAGTTGAGCTGAGAAGAGATGGAGGAAGGTTCTGAAAATGATCAAAATAAATTGTATGAAATTCTCAAAGAATCAATAAAAATATTATTTAAAAATTATTGAGTAATTTTCCCTACTTTAATATTTTCACACTCACATAAACTTGAGCTATCTAAAAAAAAAGTCCAGGGTTCTTGCCACAGGCATAAGGCCCTTGTACACAATCTGAATTAATGGCAGGTCTGTATCTGACTCATTAATTCAGCTCCAGGACTGTCTGTTTTTCCTCTTTTATCTTACCTAGAGCAGAACTCTAGGAGGTCGGTAGACTTCTAGAAATGAAATGGGAATGTTGATTTGCAAAATCCTCAATGTCTGCTCTGAGTCTGCTCTGATCAGCACACACATTCATTCCCAGGGCCACAGACAGGACTTCAGCTCCTTCCACACAAGAGTTGGTGAATGAAAGGTCCTAGCATCTGAAGGGCATGAGAGGCCTATGACAATACAAGAGCAGCATGGGGCGCCTGGCTAAGTTCATACTGCCAGCTGTCTATGCATGCCCTCAAGAGCTGAGAATGATCTCTTAGGACTACCATAGAGTCTTCAGAACACTGTAGTTCCCCCAAAGAAGTGTAAAAGGGCAAGGAACGATGCTTAACACCAAAGGCAGAGATCATTTATGCATAGTGAATTGTACTACTAAATTCCTTTAGCATCTAAGCACTCACATTTTCTATTAGGTCACAAATGATAGCGTTGTTGAAGTAGTCAATGTGAGTCCATTCTATGTCCTGAAATACAAAACAAAACAGAACCAGATCAAATCCATATGACAATGTCATAACATCATCCGAAAACCAACTGCCTGTCTTACACATTTCTCACTGTGAACTTTTTTCTTCATAGAACTGGTGCTTCAAATGCCATCTTCCAGTTTCCCAAACTTCCTCAACACAGCAGTCTACTACTAACATAATCTGATTGAAGCAAATGCCCTTGACCTGCTTTGAGACTGCCTCCTATTCCACTCTCCCATCTGTGGCTATTTCCCAGGCACTTCATGGGCTCTAAGCCAAATATTTACTCAACAGGCCCTTGGGTCAATATTACTTTGTGTATATTTACGATGTTTATAAGGAAATAAGGCAGAACTTGATCCCAGGAATCTAGGGCCTAGATTTTTCTGTTCTTTATTGGTCATCACAAGGGAAAAATAATACAGAGTCAATCCTAAGTTGTAAGACAGCTAACTATTTCAAGTATAAAAACAGTCCAGTATGAAGAGAAAGTATTTCCATCATAGAGGAAATCATGATAAAAGTACCCACAGGCTCTAACATCGGTTCCAAAGTCAAATCTTTGAGACCAACTGCCCTAAGTATAAACATTAAATTCTTCTTGGGAGAAGAAATATAATTCATAAAGCAAGCTAGGGATCTTCCTATATACTTAGAAGTGTTTCAGATAATCTGTACAAACTTTCAAATCGCATATCAAAGTTTGGGCATTCTCTTATGATGAGAGGAGAGGAAGAGCGAGCTAGAGGGAATCTGATTGCCCTTAGCATAATGCCTATAATTCATGCTGCTGTATGTATCAATTATTCATTCCTTTTTTTCTGGAAGAGTAGTAGTCCACTTAACAAATGTACCATGACAACCTATCCATTCATGTCTATTTCCTAACATAGTATTATTTTACGCTACTACACTGCAATTCAATGAGACCAGAGGCCACTAACTGACACTTCTTGAGCATTTACTTTGTACCAGGTACTAACTCTGCCCACTAATACCACAGTACCAAAGAAAGTCTCAGCATAAATGTCATACCAAACAAAAAACTTAAAGACACCAAATTAAACATGATCTGGTTATCGAGTCACATTGAGATGGTCTTCTACATCCGGATTTGAGTTATAACGGGCCACTATTTTAAGGGCGCATTCCAACATTACCTCCCGTATGTACTCCTCCTGCTCTTCTTTCAGAGTGAGTTCAATGAAGATTTGTTGCAGCTTTTCATTACAATAATTAATAATGAATTGCTCAAAGCTGTTGTCCTGTGTGGGAAGAAAGGAAATACATATATAAACCAGAAACGAGCTCTCTCTAGTAATGACACTCAATATCTCAACCCACGTGAAATTCCACACAGGATCTTTTAGACTTGACTGTGGCTCGCGCGAAGCTCCTAAGACAGACACCCCTTGCAGGCACTTGAGGGATGGCTCGTGAGTCAGTGAACAAATGAAGTAAGCACAAATGCCACAGCTCTGCCAAGATGGAGGTTTAACTGACAGAGAAGCAACCCACATGTGGTTTAAAATATCCTTGATGCTCAGGAAAGATACAGTGAGGTTCATGATCTCTGTTACCAACTTCCCCGTCTTTCATTCTTAGGTTCTCCTACTGACCTATTTCCTGCAATCAGAGTCAGATCCATGACTCAATACCCTGTTATACAAGTGTGTGTACAAATACAGACATATATGTTGATCAGTTTCACACATATATCTCAGTAGACTGCATATTCCTTAAGGGGAAGGGCTAATCACACCTTCTTCATGTGCTTCATGCCTCACCATATACCTCAAAAGTATTCGATATATAATTGTACCAGTGAATGCATGAATGGCACCCCTACTGAACAGAAATCCAAGTGAATTAAAGCATCAAAGCCATCTCCCTAACCAGAGACAATTTCTCTTCCCACACCACTACTCTCAGGGGCCTCACTGTTTCCTCTTCATAAGCTTCTCCTTCATATCAGTCATCTTTAGGAACTCTCTGAGGGAAGCTTCATGCTGTAATCATTTTTGAACAATCCAAGGAGCTCCAAGCACACACAAAGGCAAAATTCCATCTGCTGAATGCATGTATTTTATTTCGAACCACACCTGGAAAGACACAGATCTGACACTGAAGCTTGTCTTTTGCACCTCTAACTACCATCTTTGCCAAGAGGTACCCGCAGTGGGCAGAAGGGACACAAAGACTCTGCCTCTGGTAAACTGGACTCTACTCCACTGAGGTGGCCAGTCTAATAAGGAAGGCTCAGTAAAACTGAAGCTCATTGTTCCTTGTGGAGACCAAAGAAACTAGCCTTTATATCCCTCTACAAATGGCAAAAGCAAAAAGTTACAGAAGTTTAAGGTTGATCTTTTAAAATCAATTTTCGTCCTAGCCTAGGCAGACTTTAATGTGATATACTCATGACTATCTGACTACACTCTTTCCTGGAAGCCAGTATCCGACCACATTCTTCCCTGAAATACTGCTGAACATTTGTAATCATGAGCAAAGACGTGATAAGAGAATCATTTTCACTTTAAACTGCAAGCACCACAGAGTATCACACTATTACTGATTGACCTTGTTGATGCTAAATGTTAGTCAATGGTAAATTGTTAATCAAGCATTTATTTCCAATACTTCAGCAAATATAATCTTAGATGCAAACGGCATTCCCCAGTATGCATTTTTACACAAATTCTTTAAAACGTCAGAGCCAACGATTTTGATCAGAGACTGAATTTAGTCTGCTACTGCTGTCAGACATCTTTTTATATTAACCATCATAAAGTCATTTCATATATAAGAAGTATCAAGTGTTTATGGTTTGGGAAAATACATCCTTACACAATGCTACCATCACAAATAAAAACAAAATCTGAAAGGCTAATATAAGCAGACCTTTGGTATCCTAATAGAAAATGAGCATATGGAGTAAATCTTTTGTTTGTAAATCTATGCTTATGAAGCAATTTCAACTCAATTATGCTAAAGTTTCAAATATCCACTGATGAAAAAAGGGAGAGAGAAGAGAGAGACTAGTGTCCTTGGATACTCTATGTGCCTATGTATGCTTCCAAAACAAGACTGTGAAACACACACAGACAGGTTAGAAATCAAAGGCAAAGCTTCACAATCACGGCACAGCTTAAGGATTAAGTTAGAACTAAATTATATTTGCCATTGACCTTTACAATTTCCTGCATGAATTCTATAGCTCATATCCACACAATTAATCAACAACCATTTACTACAAAACTTACACAGCTGGAGAAGCCATTAACACAGGAGCATGCAACAGAATGGCACTGCAAACAGTTCATACTTACTGCATTCTGGTGCAGGGGAACAGACACAAAATGCAGTCAGTTCTTAATAAGCAATAAACTTCTAAAAGTAAACACTTATTCAGAGTTATGCACTGTTGACAGCTTCAACACTCAGGCTATTTTTCTGATTGGTATAAAACTTTAGATCAAGATAGAATCAGTCCAAACATACCTACGTGTGGTACCTCAACTGTGGTTCTGTTAAAGGGAAACTCTCTGGTATAAAATTGGTTTGACTGAAATATAGATGAACCAAATAATTTTTCTGACACCCTAAAGCTTCAGAATCCAATGCTTCTTAATTCTAAATTATCAGGATAAAGAAAACATACATGACATGTACCAAGGTCAACGTGTACCCAAAGAGTCAAGGGCAAATGTTAATGGCAGATCATAGGAGTGGGAGACCCTGCAAAGTCCAGAAGGACCTCCCTCCCCATGACCGGGTCTTGTGTGGAATCATGCAGAGCTCCTCCTTCAAGAGGGCAATAAGACCAGATCATCCTGGAGATGTCCTAAGAACAAAATCTGACTCTCTAACATTATTTTGTTGCTAAAAATTCAATCCCCATTTCCAAATCCCCAGACAAAAACAGAATATTTAACCATTAATGTTCAACTTATTTCCTCATAGAAATTAGCATCTACTGCAACTGTATTCCACACACTCTAAAACACGTCATAAATGGCCAGGGCAATAATTACTGTCCAAACAGAAGGTTAACAACACATCTCTTTGTGCTGTAAGTTGTTGACATTTTTCAAATTTGGGGAGAAAGAGAACTTGATTAAACATACATGATTAAAACTAACTTGTCCCTCCACTGCATGAGGAAGCTTCAATAATGAGCACTGAGAGATTCATTAGTATCCTCTTCTTTACCCCTGTTCTATGTTCCATAAGCCTTAGGTGTAGAGGTTGCATTGTAGAAGAAATATTGGCAACTGATTGATACTAGGTGAAAAAGAGCTCTTCCTAAAACAAGGGTCTCTAGTTAGGCTGACTAGACCTCACTGGATGAACTTACACTGGGGAACATGAGGGGACACTGACTTGACACAGTGGGCTATAACAGGGATGATAGAGTATATGGGCTTCAGTGGGGGGACTATGGGAGGGCGTCGGTGAGGATGGGGGGTAAAAAGATGATTAAGATCGTTTGAGATATTCTGCATGAAATACACAAAAATTCAATGAAAAAAAATGAAAAAAAAAAAACCCCAAAATTAACTTGGAATGGGGAAGTGGGTAAGAAACTCCAACCCTATCCAAAGAACTATTGGCAACCAATGGCAGCTAGGAAGGGGATTCAATCTCGTTTAAGGGTGAGACTCTGGGTAGGCTGAGCAGGTGCCGGTAGATAAACCTACAGCAAAGGGCATTGGGGACACAAACATGACTCTATAGGTCTTAATATACATAAATATATATATATAAATACACATACACATACACACATATATATTAGAGTATAGGAAATTTGGCGGTGGATCAGTGAGGGGGGTACAGAGAGACTCTTGGTAAGTGGACAAGGCTCTAGTGAACAAACCTACACTTAAGGACATTTGGGGACACAAACCTGACTCTATAGGTCTTAATGCACACACACACACACACACACACATGAGTATAGAATAGAAAACTTAGTGGGGGCTAGAAAGGGGGTGCTGATATGGGAGGGAATATGATCAAAATGTATTTTTGTATATGAAATTCACAAAAATTCAATTAAAGGAAAAAAAAAACAAACTTGGAAATTTTAAAATAATAAATCTCCAGCACTTGAGAGGCAGAAGCAGGCGAATCTCTGTGAGTTCGAGGCCAGCCTGGTCTACATAATGAGTTCGTCCTCTTTTTTTTTTTTTTTTTTTTTTTTTTTTTAAAAAAAAAAAAAAAAAAAAAAAAAAAAAAAAAAAAAAAAAATCTCAAAACAATTTTGAAATGGACTGGTAATAATTCAAGTAACTCTTATTTGTACCAGTTCCACAAATTTCTCAATTTCTACAGTTTAAATTAATACTAGGTGTTCAAACATAGGGTCCTCTCCCTTTCACAAAACGTCCAAAGTAAGTCTAGAAACCATCACAGGAGTCCGAGTGCCTCACAGTAACCTTCTGTTTGAATATACATATTTTTTGTATTGTCAAGAACTGTGCGAGCAGCCAGCAGTCCCCAAGTGTCAGTCTCATGAATCAAAGTCCCAGGAGGAGGAAGTGGCAGGAGTTTGCCCTCCTCAGTGACTCAGCTCCTCTCCCAAGCTGTCTACCCATGCTCTATCAGTTTTTTCTACTGTCTTTTATAAAGGCTGAAGTGATAAAATTAAAACATTCAGGAGTATCTTCAAAAAAGTACATTCAGGGTTTCTATTAAATGACCCCTTGAGTGAACCTTGGAACACGCTTGGCCCTGGACAGACCACTGTGAAGAACACGGGGGAACAAAAAGTGCCTGTATTCCATGCTACTTCATACCGTGTACCAACTGCACACGGGAAGAGTGAGTACTCACTGTATTTAGAATATACCAGAGCTTCAAACTCAAAGGCTTTTTAAACATTTTTCTAGACTCTGAGCTCATCCTTTCAGTATTTAAAAAAAAAAAACAAAAAACGCACTCCCAGTATGATTCAGAACCACCTTCTACTCCCAGGTACCAATCATAAATGTTCTGCATGGAATGATTTTGAAAGACCTGTTTATATTCTCCTTAGCAACAGAGGCACGTAAGGATATCGTATACTTCCTTAAAGCAAATGCATATTTTTGACAAATTGTACTCTTTATAAACAATAAATATTAAATAGAAGAGGCAAATATGAGTTTATGCCCCATATAGTTGGGATGAGGAGACAGGAAGAATTTTGCAGGTGAAAGTTACATTTTGGAAACGGTGGGCAGATCAAATACAAAGACCACATTTTTTTTTCAAGGAAAAAGTG